ATAGCCCTGACATTGAAGTTCACCCTCACTGAAGCAGAAGGGAGAAGAGGCCAGAGTTCACACCTCATGGAGGTGAATGGGGTGAGGGGGTGAATTCACATCTTCCTTGGCTGCTTGTTGTTTTGCTGTTGTTTGCTGCAAGGCTGGGTTTACTGGGCAGCAGCACATCTGTTTACTTTGTGATGGTTGTATCTTGGCAAGAGAAGGAGACAAACTTCCATTTTTTTAAAATGAAAGCTATCAGCAATTACTGCAGAATTCAGCAAAAATCTGGAAAACTCTACAAATTAACGCATGGAATTTTACTTCCCACCATTTTCTTCTGTTCCTAATATTATTGTGACTATCTGGAAATGTATCTGACATGTAAGCACTGAGAGTTAAAGATGAAATTAGGTCACAACTTCAGCTCAGAAACATGCAGGTTCTAATGTATTTTTTAAAAGTACAAGGTGACTGTACATTTGTCAGCCTTGCCCATTAAAACACAGAAACCCAAGAATTTAAAGGGCAGCAAATCTACTTAATCCCATTTCAAAACGTATCAGCATGGTTTCAACTTCATATCCAGTGTTCCATAACAATAGGATCTTTATTCTCACACAATACTTGCTCCTGAAACCATGTGAGAAACTGAAGCCAGAGCAGCACCTGCTGAGGAGCAGCAGATGAAGCTCACAGCACACAAAACATGCTACTAAAGCAAGGATGCCACACTGACACCTCACCCTGAACTAGTTTCAGCTCATTCACCTGGTTTTTTTTTTTTTTCTGCTCTTTTACAGGCAGAAGGAAGTGGCACAGGAGGGGAAGAGCATGGGATATTATCACTTGTATAGACTATTTGATAATAGAACAATGATGGTAAACTAATCATTAGCAGACTGCCTCAGCTGTGGCCTGTCCCAGGATCTGGCAGAAGGTCATCTGGTAGACAGAGAACTGTCAGAGAGATACAAGACAAATTGCTTCTATTAATCTCTGCTTGAAAATTGATGGAAAAAGGAAGGAAGGAGATCTTATTACTCCTGCAAACTCACCCAAGTACCCAAGCACTTTCAACATAAACTTCGTACTTCTCACTGCCTTCAGCATTGCTTTGCATCTCTCTCCTTGCTATCCCCCTGCCATTAGCTGAGCAGTGACACAGCCACGGACGTGGAGGATCAGCATCAGGAAAGGTGTGTGTGCCTTTCTGCCTGTGGTGAGCACGAACAGAACCTGAATGCAGAACAGCAGAGCCAGTGTCCTACACAGTTCCAGTCAGAACATCCCAGCCATCACTGCACTGGCACTACAGAGCCACACTTGGCAAGACACCAACCACAGCCTGGTAACCGTTCTTTGAGCTGTATTCACAGGGCACTGGGAAAGCTGAAGTTGTTGCTCTGTCCCTGTTTCTCAAACGCAAAGCTGCACAGGGCTGTGAGCTTCCCTTCAGAATAGGAGTGGACTTAGTATCACTCATGTCCAAAAAGTGTGGAGGTTCATCAAGAAAAGATCTGGATTACATTTTCATTGCATGGGCAAGACCTTCCAACCCAAGACCTCAAAAGGGAACTGGTGGAATAGCAACAACTGCTTAACTTCATTTCAAAACAGATTTTTGGTATTTAAACCAAGAACTAAAGGGCAGGCTGAGAAGGCTGCTGGTGTCCTTCACGGTTGTTTGGCAATTAAGAAAGAGAACAATGCCAAGAGACCCAACTGAATCCATCCCACAGCACATATTGTTATGGAAATGCCTCCTAGAGTTCAGTCCTGCCCTGTGGAGCAATCTCAGGCTGGTTTGGAAGGATAACACTCACCACCTACTGCTGATGCTCTCCTGTGATTTGCTGAGTGATGATGAAGAACCACAGCCCCTCGAGTCCGGTGGGCTGACGTCCTCTACGTGAGGCAGGGAGGGATGAGAAGGGGAGAAGCCACTTTGTGGGGAGGACGGAGTTCGCGCTGCGGAGCCCGACGGGCCGTCTGTGTCGGTCCCAGAGGAGCTGCTGCCCTGCCGGGTAGGGGTCCCTGCCCCTCGCACCGAATCGCCGCCCTCCTTGGCCTCCTGTTTCCGCTTGCGGTATTCCAGTAGGGATACCTGGGAGAGACAGCGCAGACGTGAGTCAGGGAACGCAGTGGACTAGGACAAGGAGGGGCAATGTGCCCACACACCATTAAAAAGTATCTGTTTCTCTGGGTTTGCAGATAAAACTTGACGAAGCATAGTGGGATTATCAACTCTTCCTGAATCTGCAGAGCTAAGTGGTACAAATTTGGACTGCCATGATCAATCCCCTTTTACTTTTTATGATGAAACATCCAGCTAGAAATTATTTCTGTAGAAACATCCAGCTAATTTGCTTCTCTAACAGCCTGGATCTTCACATTACTTCAAGACATGCACACACATTCAAACATCAAGCCTCTATATCCTCCCTTCTCTCAACACCCTTCACACTCTCCGGTTTATGTAAATTTCTTTGCAATATCTGTAAATCCTCGGAACAGGTAATAAGACCCTTCTTCACAGAACTGGCATCTTCAGGGCCCCATTCATCTGTACTAGTTCAGCCACATTAATGCCAAAAGCTTGGTGAAGCCTAGCACAGAATTTCAATTTGTTTACAGCAGGTTCCTCTGCTATGGAGGCATCACAAACTTTCAGCACTGCCACCTAAACAAACTGCTTTTAGCAAAGGTAGAATATATTTTCTGCAAAGCAATCTCACATTTGTCAAAGACACCAACCAAAGATAACCCAGTCCTGCAACACAGGGACAGCAGAACCAAAATATTTCCAGCTGAGCCTTTATCTTTCAGTGTGTGTTCCCTCAGAGTTATTATGAGGCAAGGAACCATAAAGGACTCACAGAAGGCAGCTCTGCTGAAGAATTTATCAACTATGACTCAATGCCCATACAGAAGGCTTTATGATGTTAAAATATTCAACAGGGTATTTCCAAAAGTAACTCAACATATGAAGGTTTTAAGATAAGTGTAGCTTTAAAAGAAAACCAAAGGGAAAAAAAAATCAAGAGCCCCCAGAAATGAAACGGAAATAAGATATTCCATCCAGCTGGACAATTACACAAGTGATCTGAGTTACCACATTTGCCATAAAAAAAGAAATCCAAACACAGGAAAAGGCATCAGTATTTGTCCCACAAGTACCCAGTTTTATCACAGCACCACCTTGAGTTACCATTTTCACTCAGTTTCAGTCCCATGAGGGTCACTGGCCTGCTATTAGAAACGAGTATTTGCTTTCTTTAAAACATATTCCTGTGGTTTTAGTTTCAAAGAGCTAACATTTAAGTAATGACCTTCATCTACTTTCTATGCAATGTTATGGAAACGTTCTAATATGTTCTAATAAACAGACTCTGTTTTCTTTTGAAACATTAGACCCTCTCACCTACTAAGGACCCTTTTCATCCTGATAAATAACACCTACACCAGCTGTACAGCTGCACTGTATTATTGCTCTGGGTCTTGTCTCATTTTAACAACTCTTGATGAAAGCTGCCAGCATCCTGCTCTACTTTCTGTGCTCCCAGAAGAGGTATTTTCACTGTGGTCTTTTCCTTTCACCTCACATCAAAATCTTGCCTAAAGGGTAACTCTCTCTCTTTTAACAACTGTTTTCACCCAGGCACTGGATGCCTGGATTAGTCGCCCAGACTCTCTTCGTTCTCCCTGTAAGTCTTTCCCGTGGTGTTTACAGTTCCCACAGAGGTTCCTGCAACCAAAGAATTTCTGTTTCAGGAATACTTGCCTTCTTCCTTTGCGGCGGATTCTGGGGAGCGGCCCTGGCACCCTCGCAAGCCCTCTCGCCGCAGGGGGACATGGAGCCGTGCGCCGTCTCTTTGAGCAGCCCCGACTCGTGTCTGCCGAAATACCCCTCGGCAGGAGATCTGCAGCATCCCGCTTCCGAATTCACGGGCTTCCTCTCTCCCAAAGGAGGAGACCCCCGCAACAACCCATCTACACGTGGCATAGCGTTCAATGGGGAGAAGGCATACATTAAATTAAACTCTGTCCGAAAAGCCTGATCAGAGCTTCGTAGCAGCATCTGTGCTTCCCCACTTTTCCCTGGGAAGTTCATCTCTGAAGTAGAGTTTGTGGAGGGCTGTGGAGCCACATCAGAGGATCCAAAGCTGAGCAGCGATGGCCGTTCTTGGCAGGTGTTTGCACTGGAATCCAAGTACCCTCCCTTCGAATCCAGGTCGGATCGGAGGCAGACCTGGAAAGTCCGAGAAGGATACAGGCGGGGGGGGCGGGAAGTCAGGAAAAGTGTCAGGCAAGGGTGGGGAGAGAAATTTAAGTCAGAAAGTGCTCTGTACAATGCTAGCCTCCTGCTTCCTAGTTCCTTTCTGATTACCCTGTAGGGTCTCTCCCTGTTCTGTTTTGCCCATTTCACAGACTAAACAATGATCAGTTCAGCTGTGCAGCATGGGATGCCCTTTCCCCTTCAGCAGTCTTTCTGCAGCAAGAGGATAAGGCTTGGCACTATCCCCAGGCAGTCAGTGAATTAAAACCAGCATTTTCAATTGCCTCATATGTCCCCAAGTTGATGTTAACACATAGCAGTAGCTATATTAATTATGGAGAGAGAACAGAAAACTTCTGCTGTCCTTTTGCTGTTATATTAGCCAAGTTCTTGACTCTCCCAAGTCAGCCACTACTAACTTCCTAACAATAAAATACCCAGGACATCTAAGTCATTTGTTTTCAGTTATTGTGAGCTTTGGAAATCTCCAACAATAGTACATTCATTTAATTTTTACTGCATTTCTACATTTTACAATATGCAACAAAACCACGATGGCATCATCTTTGTGCTGTCACAGTTTCTGGAGCATTAGGCACTGATACAACAGTATATCCATTTATCTACTTGAAGTGCCAAAAACCCTCCAGGGCAGCAGAATAATCATCTCCTTCACCACGTTAATATGTCGGGATCTCAGACAATGAGTATAACTGACAAGATTTCATCCTCTTTGCAGGACTGCAGTGCAGAGGGAAAAACACAGCAGCACCAGGCACCAGCTCTCCTCTCCTGCTGTCGTTGAGAACGTTTCCCCTACTGTATTACAGCTCCAAGTAATCCACCACATTGGAGATGAGCACATATTTTCTACTATGAAACAGTCTCTGAGCAAGGTAGTTCGCCTCATATTTTACAACAAGGCAGTAGGTAAGCAAAATACTACTTTGTGGCATCTCCTCAACATTTTCAGTCTGCAAGTGAGCAGCTTTAGATGTGCCAAGGCTGAAGAGAGCAGGTCAGGTGCCCCACTGTGTGCTTGTAAGTCAAAACTAGTGGGGAAAGCTTTCCCTTCCCCAGCAGTCATTTTGGCACTGCTGAGTAAATATCACAGACCACTTATCTGCTGGGCTGGGTCTGACACTGATGATGGCATTTGCAGAGTCCCCTCAACAGCCGAGACATATCAAGTCTTCCCACCAGGGCCAACAAGTGAATCAAAAATTCCAGTCTTCAATTTGTTTGCTCTCTTGTGACAACCCTGAGAGCTCTCCTCAGCCTTGTCGTGACTAATGCTCCGCCCTTATCCCCAGTGCCTCCATGCCCCGCATCCCTCCCCTCCCACCGCAGGCACAGGCACACGCGCTCCCGGGCCCAGGTGCAGTAACTACCTCAGGTGACATGGACTCGGGCCTATGCGCAGGGGAACTCTCGGGGGAGGATACGTTCTAGAGGAGGGAAAAGCATCTAGTTATTCATCTACTTAAAAAGTCGAGAAGCAAAATACAATGTACAAAATACAAGCAACGCAGGTTAGCAATGGCTACTCTAAACAAAAACTATCCCGGGAGCACAGATAGGACTGGGTTACTGCATCTCAGAATGCAACTTGGAACCCAAACCGGCACATGAACATGAAGAAAAGCAGCATCTTACTCTTTATATTTCTGATGCTGTCAGATAGAGTTTGCACCATGAAATATAGAGAAATTTATGGTGTTTATTCTGAGAACATGGGAGACATGGAAAGCCTGGTTTAGCCCAAAAAGTAAACTAAGATCCCTCAAACATTAAGGTGACGTTTCACAGACATTACACTATAAAACAAAACAGTCTCCTTCAATCCACTGTGGGTCACCTTTCCAGATAAAGTCAAGAGAAAAGGTGTGGACAGCCAGCTTTATGAAATGTCATATCACCTGAGCACCTATCAGTGAAGGCAGTGTATGCCCTTGACAGCACAGTTAAGGGCTCCTTCCCAAGCACTTCCCTTTCCATGCTAATGAGCAGGCCTAAAATAGAATCAGAGAAGGTTTCCCAGAGAAATATGGCAGGACTCACCATCTTCTGCAAAGCAGAAATCCTTAGAAAACTGAGAATCTGAAATTTGTTAACTAAAAAGAATTCTGACAAGCTCCACAGAAAAAGTAGATGCATGTCCTCATGCTTCTAGTCACTCTTATGAATACGCAGGGTATAACCATCCTCTAATTTGTTTCCAGTCTAAAAAGGTCACAAAACAGTCTGAAAAAACTTGATCTGTAAAAAGCCAACAACCAGAGCTTCAGAAGGCTTATGATACAAGTTTTTCAGAGAGCAGCTAGGAAATCAGTCAAGACGGAAGTTTCTTAAAAGCCTTCAAAAATGTATTTCTGAGCAAGGCAAGATGGCAAGTCACAGCTTCTGCTTCCTTGAGGAAGCTTGTGAACTGATGGAAGAATCTCCCTGTCACTCTCTTCCCACAGGGCCACAGGACTGAAGTATAAAGCTTTAAACTTAGAGAGATGCATTCCCTCCAGTGAGAACTGATGATAACTAAATGAAACAGACATGACATTAAAACAATGAGATTATGAATGAGGTGCATTGGAGGAAATACAAAAGTCTGAATGAAGAAGCCTATGGTCCAGTGAGTTCTTAAGACTCTTTTCAAGAGCAAAAGGGCAAAAGACAAGTTATAGATATCCAGTGAAATCAAGGCTAGTTAACTAACACTATGGTGGGACAGGAAAGGGATGATTAGACTGGCAACACTGCTCTGAGCTGCCTCCTTAACCACTGCAAGGAAAGGATCATTTCCTATCGAGCTCTCTGCCTGGAACAGTCTTTCACCTCTCTCCTCAGTGCTCCACAATCTTCCCTGCTAACCTCTACAGAGCTGCCTCTCAAATACCTTACAAGACAGGGCTCACAAAGAAAATCAAAGCACACTAAGCTAAAAATACCACAAAAAATACCACCTGTTGCAAAACGGATGAGGGATTCCTGCAAAATAGTCCCTAGTATGGAGCAGTCCATCACTGCACCATTTTTTTTTAATGGTTCTAACTGGCAGAGCATGAGCAGCTGGCCTGAAGAGTTCCATGGGTTTTTAATGAAAATATACAATGCTAGAAAACAAAACTAAACCTTCAAACAGCATGATCCCTACTCACAGGCACAGAGCAGCAACGGTTAAGTGGAAGGTCCTGGTGGGATGAATGCTGGTAACTCTCCCACAGAGTTTAGAGCAATGGAAACCACCTACAGAGCCTGCTCACTACTGCTGCTGATTTTTGCAAATGGAAAATATTGAGAAATCAAAGGTATTACAGTATTTTCTTTCTACCCAATCAAGGGAAAGAAAAACCAAAAAATACAGTGGAAGCTGATGTAAAGTATTTCTACCACACTTGGGATTACTGAAAGCTGTTTGGGGAAAGAGAAGGTGAGAACGGCAGACAGCCTTTGAGAAATGGAACACTACTGCACTCTTTGGAGGAGGCAGGGTTTGGAAGCCACATTGGCACAGAGATCTGAAGTGGGAAAGATGATTAAAGATCACTGTAAAACCTCCAAAATTTGGGAGCTACTCTGCAGACATAGGGAAAAAAAAAAAAGGTAAGAACTAGTGTTACTCGTGGCTACAAACTGAGGTTTGACATTTAACAGAGCAGGAGATTTGGTCAGAAGTGGAGCAGGGGAGAAAGGCAGCAGTGCTCTTGAGGCTGACACTGTGATGCTGCTCAGCAGTACAGCCACACAGTCCAAAAAGAGGGTCTCCCAAGTGTCACCCCTGCTGCAAGTATTCCCACTCCTCTTTTTAGCACCCTTAGTGCCAGGCAGATTTACCTCGAACTGTAGTGGAGTATTGCAGCGACTGGCAGCCAGAGAGGGGATGGGTGAGAACATCACGCCGTAGCCATTGCGACTCTCCTCCTCTCCGGGCAGTGACGAGCAGGGTGTAGCCAGCTGTGGGCTCGCTGAGCTGGGAACTGAGGGAACGGGAGGTGGAGGGGTCACGGGAGACAGCGGCCGCAGCAACTTCTTAACATTCTGCTCCATCAAGTAGCGAGACTTCCACTTCTTCAGGGGACTCAGCAAGTCTGAAAAGCAAACTGAGCTGAGGACAGGGCTGAACCATTAACCTTAACCACGAGCAAGTCTCCTTCCCCAGCCCAAATGAAGCCCAGGAATCTTCAATGCAATTATAAAAGATTCCTACTAATGAAGTACCTCTGAATTCTTCTACAGTAGAAAAACACATAATCAGGAACATGCAGTGAACATGGAAATATTTCAACTAGAAGTAAGCACAAGAAGGAGCTAGGGGAAAGGAAGACAGGAAAGGATAAAAAGAGCAGAGGAGAATGAAGGAGAGGGGTCAGAGGACATGTCACTGTCACTGCTACAAACAAACCAAAGGCAGCTCAATTATCGCTACCTGAACCTAACAGTCCCCTATAGGTTACATCAGTACAGCCCAAATACATTTCAATTCCACAAAGGATTAAAGCCTTTCCCTCAGGCCTACTCCTCTTCAAAATAATAATCTTTTTTGATGCTCAGGTTAAAAAAAAAATAAAAAAGAATCAGTAAACTCTACAGTTCAGTTGTTTGCTTCTTCAGTTCTTGCTCAGGACGTACATTTATTGGTTCTGGCATTCTGTTCATTTCCTGTTTAGCTAACTTTTCAATAATCAATTCTGTATAACCTCTGTGTTGTCTAGCCTCCTGTCATCCTTCGAAAACTGATCCCTGGCTGGGCAGATCTTCACACTCTTTCTCTGTAAAAGGATTCAGACACAGTATTTAACCATTCTGTTCCTTTACTCATAGATTTTTAACTTCTCCATCTTCGAGACTTAGTCATTTGCCAAATACATATGTGCCTGTAAGACATTCCTGTATCTTCCTACAGTCAGCAGGTATTTAGTTGCCCATCTAACAACGTCCTGCTGAAAAGAGGTAACACTGTACTCACCTCCCCCCCATCCCTTCTATTGTACAAAAGATCACACAGCACTGAGGCTGATGATGCAAGATTAAATGATTATCTTTTTACAGGAAAATACTGAGAAACTTTACACGTGCTCAAGCTAGAATGGGTCTGCAGAAATTTCAGTGAACAACAGAGCAACATTCTCACCTACCACAGAGCTGTGCTGTCAGGCAGCAGTGCCCACTGAGACATCACTCTTACAGCTGCCTTTGCTACTCATCAACTCCCCCAGTTTGACTCCAGGGCCAGTGCTGCCCTGATGGTGCTGAGCACTTACCTGTGTCATCTTTGCAGATGCTGGAGGAGCTGCTGTTCTCGTTACTTTGGTATAGACACTGGGCTCTGTTCTCTTGAGGAGCTGGTGAGGTCTGAGTCATCCCCTCTTCCAGGGCTTGTTTGATCCAGCGCTGAAACAGAACGAGACTACATAAACGTGAAACTCCTCGGGTACTTTCTATGTCATCTCGCAGGATGCACTCAGACTCCCACACTCCTGTGGAGCAGGGCAGGCTGCTCGGAACACCGGGATTACCTCCCTCACGTGCGCCCAGGCGGGAGCTGTTGGAACACAGCTGTCAGCACCGAGCCCACCACCCACCGCGATGGGGCTGACCGCGCTCCTGATGGGATGTGCTCTGGGAGCAGCAATCTCAGCAGTAACACAAAGATAGGTAAAGGGCAAATTATAAACATAAAATGCAAAATGCTGGCACCTAAAAGCTACTAAAAGCAATCATAATTTAAAAGAAAAGGGACACAAATGTGATGGACTATCTACATCCCCTGGGTTTTGCAAAAAAAGCTTTTTCTTGCCCAGGAGAACAAATACAGGAGACCTCTGCTCCACTAAGGCATATTACAGCTTAACACAGATTCTGCTTTAACAATTCCAGCAGATAAATGGTTGAGTTTAATCACATTACAAGTCTTTCAGGACTGTGCTTGCTGCCAGAGACACAGAGCAAAAAAAATCTGATGAAAATACAAGCAGCAGTTTTCAAGGAGGGTAAACCAAGAAAAAAAAAGCACCTTTTCTTCAACTACTAATAAAAAAGATAAAAGTCACAGTGGTCTTCTGAACACGGACAATAAAGAATGTATCAGACCTCACAAAAGCGAACATGAATTGAAGCCTCAGCAAATCAGCTGCTGCAGCAGGTGTGCTACCACTGTATCTTGATACAAACTGACTCCTGATGGCAAGCAGGAACTATCTTTACTATAAAAATAACTGCCACAGTATAAGGGAAAACACTCAGGTGATTCAGTAAAATGAGAGCAAGCTGCTGAAAAAAGGCAAACAGCAATTTTCATTAGTGCAGTTTACCCAGGGGACTCACTTTACCAGACCTTTCTTCTCCCAGAGAGGTTTAAAATTGTAATTTTACCTTTCAGCAATCCACAGTTCATCTGCATGCCAGCAATGTGTATCCTATTAGAGATACACGTGTATGTCTTATGATTCCTCAAAGCTATCGTGAAAGTGCATCAGAAACTCAGAGGCCTCAAAGTGAAAACTTCAACACGAGGATGAAGAGCAGGTGACAGGATCTACTTTGATGGCCTTCACTACTGTACAGAAGATTGCATTGATGAAGAGCAGGTGACAGGATCTACTTTGATGGCCTTCACTACTGTACAGCAGACGCTTCTTCTCTGTTCAAATGTAACTCAGTGGATTCCACTGCGGCCACCAGGAAAAGTGAGAAGTGCCAGCCAGTCTGGAGCACCACTACCTCAAAGGTGGCATCTGATCTGACAGCCAAGTCACTGTACAGTGTGTGATTAACGTGAGAGCAGGTTACAGTTCAGTTTCCTTGCGAGGTTCAGACACTGCCATGCTTTGGATGCAAACTGAGATCATCAGCTGAATTTTTTGGCACAGTTCTCAGTAGTTTAAGGATGAGGCCTGCTGACAATCCAAGAAAATATGTGATCTATTTCAACAGCCTTTATAAATCAACCTCCCTGGCTGAGTAGTCAAAAGTAGACAAGACAAAGATCAGGTCTTGAGAGACCAATGTCATCAAGTTCTGGACCACTTCTAGACCTTAGCTGGCTGAAAAGGAGGTGTTTCCTGTGAGTTTTCTAAACATTCCTGAATATCAGAAGCAGACTTCTACATCTCCAGACTGTTAAGTCATAAAACCACCAAATGCTAGCAAGCATTTTTCAAGAAAAAGCTAGGGATCTCCTACAAAATGGACAAAACCCCTCACTAGAACAGTTAAATAGCTACATTTAAAAAAGCAGAAATCTATCAAATTATTTCTGCAATATCTGTTCTGGAAACAGCAGCTTTCAGTATTTTATTAATGATTTAGATAATGGAATAGACATTGTATTTAAGTTTTCAGATTAAGAAACAGAAACATGGTGGATGACAGCATTCACAATTTTCCTACTATACTGGGAAATGGACAAGGAAAAACAGTGCACACCTTAGCATAGGTTAGAACAAAGTACCATATAAAACCAAAACAAACCACTTCCAAAATTACAGGCTAGAAAACTAATGGGTTGTTCTAACAAACACACTAAATCATGAACTGAATGAGTTTAAATCAACCTGTCAAAGAAAACTCTGTCATACTGGGATGCACAAAATTTACTAACAGGCTAAAAGACACCTTTCTGCTTTGAAAATGTCCCAGCTGCAACCCAACATCCAGTTTGGGACACTCAGCTTTGAGGAAGGTGTGGACTAAATGAAAGTCATCCATACTGAAATTAGTCTGTTCCCTCTCCAGCAGTGAGAATTATCATTTGACTAGAAAAAAGTCAAATGTAGCAAAAGATCAGAAGACTTGTTCCATCACAATAGTTCTCATTCAAATGTGAGCTTGCTGGTAGCTGCACAGCAACTGAGCAGAGAACTCCAAATAACTCTGCCAGCTTCACTCTGGATGCTTCTCTCTTCCCTGAGGCTCAAAGAAACTGTTCAAGTTCAAAAAGCAGCTCAAACCTTGCAGTTCTCAAAGATGCTTGAGGAGGTTGCCCAGGCACACAGAAACAGACAAGGTTTTGTTCATACATCTATATATGAACCATGAAGAGTTTTACCTAAAAAAGTAAATACCAAAGAGAGACCTCAGCTTCTTTTTGTAGGTGCCTGTTAGGGCATGACAACAAATTGGCTGAAGGCAGAAACAGTAAAGTCCAAAGATTCTCTCAGGAAAAACACCTTCAAACAAAGGAAAGCAAAGAAACCAGGAAATGGTACCTGACTCTGAAAGCTACCAAGACAGTTCAATCAGAAAGGATTTCCACATAACTGTTTTCGGGGTCCCAGGAACTTGAAAAGTCTCCGAGCAAAGCCAACAAGCAAGATGGATTCTGATACAAATCTGACCAAGCAAACTAATCTGGCTACCGTTTCCCCGTGGATAAATAAATACTGGCATTTACTGGCCATCTCTGGAGGAATTAAATCCACAGCTGGGCTCAGTTCAGGTTTCCTGCATGGCCTCAAGAATCTGCAGATAGGCTGTCTGTGATCCCAATCAAAGAGCTGTGGACTTGCTCTTGCAAACAGGCAAACTCAAAGCTTTTAAAACAAAGGCTCTTCCAAAGACAAAGAATCTTGACTGGGGCACTGTTTTCTCGAGGTCCTCTGCGACACTGTCCTATCCCCACAATACCAACCATCCTCTGACTGTGAAAGTAGTAACAAAACTTTTTAAGGGCAACAATTAACATTCTTCGAATCGCATACGCTGGATAATAAACAGCCACTGCAGATCCGAAAGTACATGTTTCTAAGAGGGGAGTAACAGAACAGGGACTAGGAAAAAGTCAGCAGTCATAGTCTGGACACTGCATCAACACACCAGCTCAGCAGGAATATGTGGAAATAA